CCATGAGGGAAAAACCATCTTGTCCGAACTTACATTCCTCTGCCCTCAAAGGCTTCCTTGCCGGCAGCTCACAGACGTTTCTTTTCCTGAAGGCATGCCAGAGACTAATTATTGGAAACGCTTCAAGCCTGCTTTGTTTTCCAGGAAAGATTAGTCATGCCAACAGCCTTCCCCCTTCCCTCTGTTTGACCTCAGCCACAAAAGTGTGTCCATCTTCTCAAGGTCTCAGGCTGAGGGAGGCCTGAAAACAGTTGTTTACCTCAGAATGTTGTGGCTGTTTCCAGGCTCTGTGGTTCTCGGTCAACTTCAAGGGTGTTCGATATGGGGCGGGGCACAGTTCTTGTGGGTGGGATTTCTTGGTCCATGGGGAGCGCTGAGAGCTTGTCGGGCCACCTTCTGAATGAATGTCTGACACATGCGTACGCCGGAAAAGACTGAATTAGGTACCACAAAGTTTGTGCAAAAACAGTGTAAAAATGTTTTTCCCCCCAAAAAAACAATTTATTAGGATATAATATACGTTCAAACATACATCAAAGTTTATGTTATACATCCTTTTTCCTCTTACCCCAACCCATTCATGGCTTCCCACAGTGCTCCAACCTCCTGCCCATCTCTTAAATCTTTTACATATCTTCCTTTTTAAATATTCAAACTCTACAGGTAACACATTTTTCAATTGTTATTCTTATACACTTATCCATTTTCTATTATTCTTTATATTTCAATGGTTTTCAAAACAAAGCAAATTGTCCTTTACTTCACAATATTTTTCTAAATAGTCTCTAAAATCCTTCCAGTCTTCAAAAAATTCTTCTGCTTCCAAATTTTTAAGTTTCCTCGTCATTTTGTCCATTTCGACCATAAAAAGTAACTTCTTTATCCAGTCACCAATTTCGGGTATTTTGTCTTGTTTCCAACATTGAGCATATATCATTCTGGCTGTTGTAATCATATTACCACATCAATGTCCTTTTTGCCACATTTACTTCTTCCATTTTGAGTCCCAAAAGCAAAATTTCTGACTCTTTCTTAAAATTACACTTAACAATGTTCTCCATTTCTGCATGTATAAAAATGAATTTAACAAATAGGTTTATTTACAGTGCGCTTAAAGTATAAATTGAAAAAACATAGGCCTGGAATTTAGCCTTTAAACTGAAAGCCACTGGAGTAAGTAGTCCTCAATATACACATATATAATATTAAAGCTTGTTTTCAGCGCGTGTTTGTGTGTATTTGTGAAATGTTCCCTCTAAGCTGTGGAGTCTTGAGCAAAAATTCTACTTTGTGAGCTACTAGCATTACAGTTGTGAGCGAGCGATTTGGCTAGTGCGTGAATTAGGTTGTTCTGGAGCCCTCCTTCCTGAGCTGGGACAAAAATGTGTGAGCCGGAGGCTAAAAAACGGGGAGCCAGTCAACTCAACTTAGAGGGAACACTTGTGACCACTGAAGAAGGGCCATAGGGCTGAAACGCATTCGGTCATCTTTACTGTGGCTTTGTGTGTAGATTGTCAACTTTGAGATTGATCAAGATGGGTAGCCATGTTTGTCTTTAGCAGTAGAAAAGAGCCAAGAGTCCAGTAGCGCCCCTTATAGACTAACCAGATTTGTGGCAGGGGAGGAGCTTTCAAGAGTCACCGCTCACTTCTTCACGAAAGCTTCCTCCCCTGCCACAAATTTTGCTAGTCTTTAAGGTGCTACTGGACTCTCGCTCTTTTCTACAACTTTGGAGATACTGAGTTTGGTTCACGGCGGTCTTATTTGTACACCATCAACATTGAGATACTGTTTTGTATTATGTATTGTCTACTGAGAGTTATAGTCTGGTGGCTTTCAGTTTGAAGGCTAAATTCAAAGCCCGTGTTTTTTAAATGTGTAGTTCAAGTTCCCCATCTGACGCACGCACTCTTTATTTCTTGCAGAGGTGGAGGTAGGCAAAGACCAGGAGTTCACAGTCAAATCCAAGGGGGCCGGCGGTCAAGGCAAGGTGGCGGCCAAAATCTCGGGCCCCTCCAGCAAACCGGTACCGTGCAAGGTGGAACCGGGTCTCAGCCCTGACAACAGCGTGGTGAAGTTCATCCCCCGCGAAGAGGGACCCTACGAGGTGGACGTGACCTACGATGGAGTGCCTGTCCCGGGCAGTCCCTTCCCTGTGGAAGCAGTACCTCCCACCAACCCGTCCAAGGTATGGTCCTGGGGGGGGGATGGGCGGCTCTCACAGGTTGCTACATAGAACCGAGGTCCCCAACATTTTTGAGCCTGCGGGCTCATTTGGAATTCTGACAGAGGGCCGTGGGCATGGCTACCACCAGATGGCTGCCACCGGAGGCCATAGAATGGCTGTCACAGCTTGCCTTCAGTCACACAGGGAAGACCTTTGTTCTGTGGGGGTTGCTGCCCCCCCACAGCAATGTTTTTAAAAATCCACACAGCCGATGAGATCTCCAAAGGCTATTCAAGACCCCTGCTATGCAAGAGCCTCACCTGCCCCTACCCCAGGCCTGTAGCTACAGTGGGGCATCTCGGGGCCCGCCCCCCGACTTACTACCACAGCCCCCCTGACCCCCCTTCCCTCCGATCCGGCAGCGCCCCCCCCCCCCGACTTCCCATTTTTTATTTTATTTGTGGTGCTCCCCTTGGGGGCATGTGCGAGGTGCCCCCTGACTTATTGAAAGGACCCCTGAATTAAAATGTCCTGGCTACGGGGCCCGCCCTGTCCTTTTTCTAAAAACACTTGGCAGGCACCCGAGAACATGTCAGCGGACGCCATGTTGGGGACTCTTGACACGGGTAGATCTGGGACGGGTGTGACTGGGCAGGGCTCGCCACCCTAACCCCAGTGTCCCGATCGACTCTATTGTATTAGAGCAGCGTCCTGGAGAACCTATGCATTCTTAAATCGGTGCCTGCGTGAGCAAAAGTGCATCTGACTGATGCCGTCCAGCTGAACTAGACTCTAGGGGCCAGCAGGATGTAGGAGGGGCTAGTGCTGGAGTAGGGAGCTGTGGGAGACCCAGTTTCAAATTCAACTTGGCTTATACTATCAGAACGCGGCTGTGTTAGTCCGCGGTAGAACCAAGTCCTGTAGTCCCGTAGAGATCAACCAGATTTTCTGGGGTGCGAACGTTTCTAAGGGAGTCAAAAGCGCCCCCTTTGTAAGCCGCCCTGAGCCTGTTCGCGGGGAGGGCGGGGTATAAATGGAATGAATGAATAAATAAATAACATTTGTCAGATGCAAGCAGGGATGCGGATCCCTGCGTCTCTCCTTCCCAGTGACAAGACAGGAGGGGTATGATAAAGAAAGGAGTCAGGGCGCAGAGATACAATGCAAAATGTTGTCAGATTTCTCTCTCTCCCCCCCCCCCCCTTAATCAATCTGATTTGAGTTGGGAGCGCAGTCTTGCAGTTCATGGAGTCCCACATGGAGGAGTGGGTAGCAGCCTCTGTAGGGGGTGCTTTGACCTGAAGGAGTTGTTATGAATGATCAAGACACCAGGCAGGAGGTGATTAGAAAGACCTTGATTTTGATTAGAAGGACCAGGCAGGAGGTGATGGGAAAGACCCTGACCTGAGAGCCTAGCTCAGTGGAAGAGCTTCTGCTTGGCATGCAGAAGGTCCCAGGTTCAATCCCCGGCATCTCCAGTTAAAAAGGACCAGGCAGGAGGGGATGGGGAAGACCTTGACCCGAGACCCTGGCTCAGAGACAGAGCCTCTGCTTGGCATGTAGAAGGTCCCAGGTTCAATCCCCGGCATCTCCAGTTAAAAGGACCAGGCAGGAGGGGATGGGGAAGACCTTGACCCGAGACCCTGGCTCAGAGGCAGAGCCTCTGCTTGGCATGCAGGAGGTCCCAGGTTCAATCCCCGGCATCTCCAGTTAAAAGGACCAGGCAGGAGGTGATGGGAAAGACCTTGATCTGAGACCCTGGCTCAGTGGCAGAGCCTCTGCTTGGCATGCAGAAGGTCCCAGGTTCAGTTCCTGGCATCTCCAGTTAAAAGGACTAGGCAGTAGATGATGAGAAAGACCTTGACCTGAGACCCTGGCTCAGTGGCAGAGCCTCTGTTTGGCATGCAGAAGGTCCCAGGTTCAATCCCTGTCATCTCCAGTTAAAGGGACCAGGCAGGAGGTGATGGGAAAGACCTTGACCTGAGACCCTGGCTCAGTGGCAGAGCCTCTGCTTGGCGTGCAGAAGGTCCCAGGTTCAGTTCCTGGCATCTCCTGTTAAAAGGACCAGGCAGGCAGGGATGAAAAAGACCTTGACCCGTGACCCTGGCTCAGCTGCAGGGCCTCTGCTTGGCATGCAGGAGGTCCCAGGTTCAATCTCCAGCATCTCCAGCTAAAAGAACCAGGCAGGAGGGGATGAGAAAGACCTTGACCCGAGAACCTGGCTTAATGGCAGAGCCTCTGCTTGACATGAAGAAGGTCTCAGGTTCAATCCTCGGCATTTCCAGTTAAAAGGGACCAGGCAGGAGGTGATGTGAAGGACCTCGACCTGAGACCCTGGAGAGCCACTGCCATCTTGAGTAGATAATACTGACCTTGATGGACCAAAGGTCTGAGTCAGTAGAAGGCAGCTACGTATGCTCTTGCATGTTCACCGTTGACGTCAAAGGTGACAACCCATCTTCTCTCCCCAGGTGAAGGCCTACGGACCAGGCTTGAAGGGTGGCTCAGCCGGCTCCCCGGCTCCTTTCACCATCGACACCAAGGGGGCCGGGAACGGAGGCCTCGGCCTGACGGTGGAAGGCCCTTGTGAGGCCAAGATCGAGTGCCTGGACAACGGCGATGGCACCTGCTCAGTGTCCTACCTGCCCACCGAGCCCGGGGAGTACAATATCAACATCCTCTTTGCCAACACCCACGTGCCAGGCTCGCCTTTCAAGGCCCAAGTGGTGCCCGGCTTCGACCCCTCCAAGGTGAAGTGCTCCGGACCTGGGCTGGAACACGCCACGGTGGGGCAAGCCGGGGAGTTCAGCGTGGACTGCTCCAGCGCCGGCAGCGCCGAACTGACCATCGAGATCATCTCCGAGAGCGGCACGCAGGCCGAGGTCCACGTGCGGGACAACGGGGACGGGACGTATACCATCACATACATCCCGCTCTGCCCGGGGATCTACACCATCACGATCAAGTACGGGGGGCAGCCGGTGCCCAATTTCCCCAGCAAGCTCAACGTGGAAGCCCCCGTGGACACGTCCGGTGTCAAGGTTTATGGGCCTGGAGTGGAAGGCAAAGGTGAGGACCGGACGCGCAGGCTGGCTCGAAGCGCAAAAGCATGTGGGCCGGGGACCAAACGGAGCCGTCCGCAGTGCTTTGGGAGACGACTGTAGAAATAAGTGTGTGTGGGTTTTTAAAAGAATTGAACTGTAGGGCTGTGGAGAGGGGTAGGTCTTTCGGTGAGTGATTGAAACGTGGAATTCGCTGCCAGAGGATGTGGAGATGGCCACAGTCATAGAGTGTTTTAAGAGGGGATTGGACAGATTTATGGAGGAGAGGTCTGTCAGTGGCTACTAGCCATGGGGACTGAAGGGAACCTCCACATTCAGAGGCAGGTCTTTAGGTTCTGAAGACCAGTGCCAGGAGGCAGCATCAGGGGAAGCTCTGGGCCTCTGGGCCCTGTTATTGACCCTCCAGAGGAACTGGTTGGCCACTGGACTGGATGGACCACTGGTCTGATTTAGCAGGGCCCTTCTGATGTTCTTATGAAGGCCTGGGCCTCTGTGCCCTTCTATTGGCCCTCCAGAGGAACTGGCTGTGTGAGACAAGATGCTGGACTAGATGGACCACTGGTCCGATCTAGCAGGGCCCTTCTGATGTTCTTCAGGACGTTGGACTGGATGGACCATTGGTCCGATCCACCAGGGCCCTTCTGATGTTCTTATGAAGGCCTGGGCCTCTGTGCCCTTCTATTGGCCCTCCAGAGGAACTGGCTGTGTGAGACAAGATGCTGGACTAGATGGACCACTGGTCCGATCTAGCAGGGCCCTTCTGATGTTCTTATGAAGGTCTCGGCCTCTGTGCCTTGTTGTTGGCCCTCCATGGGAACTGGCTGGCCACTGCGTGAGACGGGATGCTGGACTAGAGGGACCCTCCCTGGTCTGACCCAGCAGGGCTCTTCTGATGTCCTTATGAGAGCTACAGATGTGGTTGCTATCAACCGAAACAGGAGAGGGGCTGTGGCTTGGTGTGTAGAAGGTCCCAAATTCAGTCCTGACTCCCCAGCTTTTCCAGTTTAAAAAAAAGTCAGGCAGGAGGTGATGTGAAAGACCTCCGCCTGAGACCCTGGAGAGCTGCTGCCAGTCTGAGTAGACAGTGCTGCCTTGGATGGACCAGTGTTGTGAGTCTGTATACGGCAGCTTCATGTATTTCATGTGTAAGGTAGCTGCCTTTGTTTCCATCCTTGGCACGAGTCCTGTCCCTCAGAGACTCGTAGCTTACCTGCCCCTCTGGCCGTGGCTATTTCAGGACGGGAGCCAATTGCCCAGGGCGGGCTATGCCAGGCAAGAGCTTTGCCCACGTCCTCGAAGCCATGAGGAACGGCGGGATAGAAGGGTTTTAATAAACGAAATACAGGACAGGTGCCACACTGGGAAACGGTGCCGAGAACAGCCACAGGTAGGGTGTCAAAGAATCACCTGTGGCTCTCGAACCACTGAGGGAGAGTCATTGCTCTAGAGACAGAGACAGCTTGCACGGTGTCTTCCCACGGGTGACAGAATTATGCGTTTACCTCAGCCGCATGACTCCCCATTGATACAGTCCCTCCATGAGGCCTCACAAGGCATTCAAAACCTATTCGGCTTTTTGTTGGGCTTCATGTGTCAAAGAGCTGTTTGAATAACCAGAAAAGCTGGAGATTTGCTGGTGTTTTTTTTTTCTTCCTTAAATGGGAGACGTGACTCTAAGCTGAATCGCACACGTTTCCTGTGCTTGCACGGCCTGCTTGGATCTGTGTGCGTCAGTTGTGGTTCTGAAAGCTAGACGTCCTTCTGGGTGAATTTGAGGCTTCACGTGATAGGAATTTGAAGCGTCGATGGGCGGGAAGCAGCAAACCCCTTAGAAATCTGATCAGTTTGCCATGCTTGGGCTGAAACGTGAGCCTTTTCCTGCAGATGTGTGCTTCCTCTGGATCTGATAGGATTGCCAACTCCAGGCTGGGAAATCCCAGGAGGTTCAGAGGGCAGGGTTTGGGGAGGGTAGGGACCCACCGAGTTTGAGCCACTCTCCAAAGTTTGATCCAGGGGGACTAAACTCTGTCGTCTGGAGATGATTCATCATTCTGGGAGATCTCCAGGCCCCACCTGGAGGCTGTACCAAATGGAATTAAACCGTGTTAATGAAACTTCGTTGGTCTTAAAGGGGCCACTGGACTCAGACTTGGTTCTCTGGTGCCTTCGTACATTCCCCTTCTGCACATGGGGATCCTGGGGGATAAGAACATAAGAACATGAGAGAAGCCAATGTTGGATCAGGCCAAATGGCCCATCCAGTCCAACACTCTGTGTCACACAGTGGCCAAAAATACCAGGTGCCATCAGGAGGTCCACCAGTGGGGCCAGGACACTAGAAGCCCTCCCACTGTTGACCCCACCCCCAAGCACCAAGAATACAGAGCATCCCTTGCCCCAGACCGAGAGTTCCTATCTATCCCTCATGGCTGATAGCCACTGGTGGACCTCTGCTCCATATGTTTATCTAATTCCCTCTTATAAGAACATGAGAGAAGCCAACGTTAGATCAGGCCAAATGGCCCATCTTTTGCTCCCAAGACTCCACAGCTTAGAGGGGGCATGAAACGTTGTTGGTCTTAAAGGGGCCAGTGGACTCAAACTCTCTGGTGCCTTCTTACATTCCTTTCTGCACATGGGGATCCTTACTTCTGATATGAATGGGGTCTGCATGTTCCCAA